AGGACCAAGGCAGAGACATCTCCAGCTCATCCCCTGTTTGGGTATCAGCCAGCACGTCAACGACTTATATCAAGACATAGTTTTCTTAGATCTACAGAGACACTCGCTGGAACACCCCAGCAAGCGAGAGTCCAAAAGTGGCAGGCCCAAACCCAGCACCTCAATTCATGGGTGATACCAGATGAGAGACTCCCCCCTGGGCACAGAAGACTGGGCGACTTGGAAGGCGCTGAACAGACTGCGCTCTGGCACCACGAGATGCAGAGCCAATCTTAAGAAATGGGGCTACAGGGTGGAATCCACGGCATGCAAGTGGGGAAAAGAACAAACCACTGACCACCTGCTGCAATGCACCCTGAGCCCTGCCACATGCACAATGGAGGACCTCCTTGTAGCAACACCAGAGGCACTGCAAGTGGCCAGATACTGGTCAAAGGGCGTTTAACCAACTACCAAGTTTGCAAAATCTGTGTGTTTTTTTCTTTTTCTTTTTAATCTGTGTTTTTGTTTTGTTCTGTTAGAATTGTAATACAATGGTATGGTTGCTGATGACACGATAAATAAATAAATAAGCCATCCAAGTAGCAACCAGGACTGATACTTCACACCTAGCTCCAGCAGGCAAGAGTCCTTTGTCTCACCCTGGTCATTCCACAGATATATAAACCCTTTTTTCTTGTTCCAACAGACCTCACTACCTCTGAGGATGCTTGCCATAGATGCAGGCGAAACATCAGGAGAGAATGCCTCTAGACCATGGCCATATAGCCCGAAAAAACCTACAACAACCCAGGACTGATCTTGTTTAACGTCTAAGATCTGATACCTTTCAATGGAAGCTGACCATAGAACCTCATTGGAGGATTTAAGAGATTCCTAGAGACATGTTCCCTCTAGAAATCTCCAGCACCTCCAGGAAGCCTGTAACTACAGGATCTCACTGGAAAACCTAGAGATTCTTAAAATAGTTTGTGAATAATCAAATCTGCAAAAGTCAGAACTGCAGAGCAGAGTGGAGGGTAAGTCCTGGCACCACAACAACTGGGAGGAAGCCGATTAAGAAGACGCCCCCCTCCCCCTTTAATAAATCCCACACAGGGTTGGGCTGCACATTGCTTTGAAACATAGCAAGCGGTCAGTGCAAATATACAGGCGCATGGAGTGCACATAAATATGTTTGCTGAAGTTTGCTCAGGAACACTTGCGCACAATGATCCCATCAGCCTGGAAGGCAGGCTTTCTGCCTTAATTTGCAATCCAATTTCCTTGCACCTAAACAAACACTTCCCAAAGAGATTGCAAACTTGCCCGCTGCACCTAAACACAAGTTCTTCCTGGGAGAATGAGAACACAACCTATTTAATGTTGTCTTTGCCTTGACTATTTCAGAAGGGGGCTAGACTCCTGTCAATTGTCCCAAGCAAAAGCCCCCCAAAAGAAAAAAAAATAGAGGAGGGGGATGGCGAATTTAACTTAGCACAAGAGGGACTACCTAGGCCTCCCTGAGTAACTTAGCAACAGCACAAAGAGCGGAGAAAAGAGGCAACAAAAATATGTGGGTGAGGAAGTGTGGCCGAATGCATGTGTGTGTGACCCCGGTCTGTGCATGAAAGGATGCAGAGGGCTGTGAAAGAGCCGGGCGAGAGAATGCATGGGAGCAAAGAAAAGAGATGCAAAATGAGATGCAAGCATTCTCTGGGTGCCAGAACATGGGAAGGACAGAACATGGCAAAATCCATGAGAGAGGATGTGACGGGTTTGTGAGATTGTGGGGCACAGTCTATGCACACCTGTGGAATTGGCATCTGTGAATGAAGAAACATAGCCTGACAAAAGGTCATAGAATCATAGAGTTGGAAGAGACCTCATGGGCCATCTAGTCCAACCCCCTGACAAGAAGCATTCAAAGCACCCCCGACAGATGGCCATCCAGCCTCTGTTTAAAAGCTTCCGAAGAAGGAGCCTCCACCACACTCCGGGGCAGAGAGTTCCACTGCTGAACAGCTCTCACAGTCAGGAAATTCTTCCTCATGTTCAGGTGGAATCTCCTTTCTTGTAGTTTGAAGCCATTGTTCCGTGTCCTAGTCTCCAAGGCAGCAGAAAACAAGTTTGCTCCCTCCTCCCTATGACATTCTCTCACATATTTATACATGGCTATCATGTCTCCTCTCAGCCTTCTCTTCTGCAGGCTAAACATGCCCAGCTCTTTAAGCCGCACCTCATAGGGCTTGTTCTCCATACCCTTGATCATTTGAGTCGCCCTCCTCTGGACACATTCCAGCTTGTCAACATCTCTCTTCATTTGTGGTGCCCAGAATTGGACACAGTATTCCAGGTGTGGTCTAACCAACGCAGAATAAAGGGGTAGCATGACTTCCTTGGATCTAGACACTATACTCCTCTTGATGCAGGCCAAAATCCCATTGGCTTTTTTTGTTGCTGCATCACATTGTTGGCTCATGTTTAACTTGTTGTCCATGAGGACTCCAAGATCTTTTTCACAAATACTGTTCTCGACCCATGCATCCCCCATTCTGTATCTTTGCCATGCGCCCCCCATTCTGGTCTTAGTGTAGGCATGGTCAAACTTCAGTCCAAGTGGCTGAGGGGCAAAAAGAAGGGGGTCTGAGACTGTTAGGAATGGTGAGAGTTGAAGTCCAAAACACAGGATGGTAAAACATCTGGGTATCCCCTGGGCAACGTCCTTGCAAACGGCCAATTTTCCCACACCAGAAGCGACTGGTGGAGGCTTCTTCTTTGGAAGAGGCTGGATGGACATCTGTCAGGGGTGATTTGAATGCAATATTCCTGCTTCTTGGTAGGGGGTTGGACTGGATGGCCAATGAGGTCTCTTCCAACTCTTTGATTCTATGATTCTATGACTTGTAGTTTCTCAAGTGGCTCCTGACATGAAAAAAAAGTACTGATCACAGTTGATATTTCCACTGTCTTATTAAAGACCTTGTAGAATGAATTCAGCTTGACGCCACTTTACTTGCCATGGCAGAATGTTAGTGAATCATGTGAGTTGTAGTTTGGTGAGGCACCAACTCTCTTTGGCAGAGGAGGCTAGATACCTGGTAAACAACTGCAAGGATTCCATAGTACTCAGCCATGACAGTTACAGTGATGTCAAAGAGTATTAATTATACAGTATAGATACATCCTTTAAGGAGATGACTTACTCAAGTATAGAACTGGACTTTATGTGGACTTTATTTCTGCCTTCCCTCTCTTCCAATAGGGAACTAAAGATACCTTACAACAATAAAATACAGCTAGAATTCTAGAATACAGCTAGAATTGGGGTTACCACAGCTCTTCTACTTATGCATCTCCCACTTTGCCTTCCCCTTCTTCTAACTTTATCTTCCATAACATTGCTGGGTTCACTTTTTGCAGCTACCTGAGTGGTTATGTTCTCCCTACAAGGCAACTGAGCTATTGTTTGGTTTGTATGCTATGTGTCTGGTGGGAACACTTGGAAGTGTCGGAGGGCCATTTTCAAGTCATGCAGACCCTACATGGACCACAGTATGGCCATTTTCCAGAAATGGAAGTGACATTTTGCTCAAGCGGTGGAGAGACACAACAATTCCCTATTTATGGTTCTGCTCCCCCCACCCCCACCATAACATTAGGACCATTTAACTGATTATTGCCCCATTGCTCTATATCAGTGGTTCTCAACCTTCCTCAACCTTCCACATGCCGCGACCCCTTAATACAGTTCCTCATGTTGTGGTGACCTCCAGCCCTAACATTATTTTCGTTGCTGCTTCATAACTATMATTTTGCTACTGTTATGAAATTTGGAACAAATATCCCATAAGCCCAAATTTGAACATGGTGAGGTTGGGGGGGGGGGGGTTGATTTTGTCATTTGGGAGTTGTAGTTGCAGGGATTTATAGTTCACCTACAATCAACAAGCATTCGGAACTYCACCAACGATGGAATTGAACTAATCTTGGCAAATGGAACTCCCATGAAAATACTGGAAGGGTTTGATGGGAATTGACCTTGAGTTTTGGAGTTGTAGTTCACCTACATCCAGAGAGCACTGTGGAGGAAGGCAGGGATGGAGGGAGGGAGGAAGCAACCAGATGGATACATTGATATGACTGCATGAGAGTAAGGCCCCTTCTACATTGCCATATAATCCATATTATCACAGCAGATAATGCAGATTATCTGCTTTGAGCTGAATTATATGAGTCTACACTGCCATATAAGCCAGTTCAAAGCAGATAATCTGGATTTTGTATGGCAGTCTAGACAGGGCCCAAGGGCCCTTCCACATAGCCCTATATCCCAGAATATCATGGCAGAAAATCCCACAATATCTGTTTTGAACTGGCCTTGATATACTGGGATCCTCTGCCTTGATATACTGGGATAGAGGGCTGTGTGGAAGAACCCTAAGAGTGAGGAAAAGTGTGTGTGTGTGTGTGTGTGTGAGAGAGAGAGAGAGAGAGAGAGAGAGAAACAAACCATCACACTCTTAAAAACTCACTTTTTTTGTACTATTCCTCCCAGATATTCCCAACCAGCTCACACTGCGCATGATCGCTGGGGGATTCTAGGGAACAGTAGCCAGAAAAGTAACTTTCCTCAGATCTGGGCATCTGTGTTTGCACATGCTACAAAAGTTATGCCCTGTGTTCTCGCATCCCTTGCTTTTGTTTCTTCTTCTCCAGCTTCAAAACCCAAATCCATGTGTTTGAGCACAGATGTGTGGGAGAGAATCCATCTCATGCAAAATTGTAAGTAGCACAGCTGCCTGAGTTTCCCCAATACACTTTTTTCTACTTGTGAGATTCAACTTTTCATCTGCTCTCTTTCCTCTCTTCCCAGGCCTCCTTGAAATGGTTCCACTGCACCAGCACTATGAATGCTTTGCTATATAATGATGCTAAGCCCCCCCCCCCCCACCCATGCCTATAATGGCACCTGCCAGGAGACCCTCCCAAACCTCTCTCCCCCACTCCCCAGCACCCACCGTTCTCAGAGGCTGTGGACCCTTCACAGTCAGAGATGAGTTGCTGGGGGTTGCGCTGTTTCCTCCGAGACATCCCTGCTGGGGTTTGGGGAGGGGACCCCAAGTCTCTGTCTTTGGTGGGGAGCCAGTGGGCACCTGACCCTGGTCTCTCGGGAATGGCATCCCTCCCCTTGCCCCCCCCCTTGCAGCCCCTTCCCCTTTCACACATCCTCAGGGGACACGCCTCCCCCCCTTTGTGCCTCTCATTGTAAAAGCAAAACTCTTAATCTTTCTGTACACTCTTTTTTCTTTTGTACTGGCAGGATTGGATGGGGGGGAAGAGGGAAGGAGAAGGAAACTTAACTCTTTCTTTCCCTGAATTGCTCCCTTGGAAAGAGAAGAAACTTTGGGGGATCTTTATTTTAAGCACTGAAATCTGGACACTTCTGGAGAGAAAGGAATCAGAGCAAAACCTGGGCTGAAATTAACTAGATTGTTCTCAAACCAATTCTTGCATTTGTGCCCAGTGATTCCATTATTTCCATGCCACTAAAACACCCATTTAGGGGTGTTTATTAATTTTTGGGAGATAAGCGTTTTTGGTTTTCCCCATTGAAATCCAGCTAGTCCTAGAGTGGAAGGAATCAGAGCAAAACTTGGGCTGAAATCAACTAGATCAGTGGTTCTCAACCTTCCTATTTTTTTTTCATTTCGGGAGTGACTTGAGAAACTGCAAGTTGCTTCTGGTGTGAGAGAATTGGCCGTCTGCAAGGACGTTGCCCAGGGGATGCCCTGATGTTTTGATGTCCTTGTGGGAAGCTTCAGTTATGCCCCCACATGGGGAGTTGGAGCTGACAGAGGGAGCTCATCCGCACTCTCCCTTGATTTGAACCTCTGACCTGTCCGTCCTCAGTCTTGCCAGCACAAGGGTTTAACCCATTGATTTCTAATTGGAGCAAAATACCACCAGCAGCCAGCTTCACTGGCTGCTGGTCCACTTCCGAGCACAATTCAAAGTGCTGGTCTTGACCTATAAAGCCTTATATGGCTCCGACCCAGCTTACTTGTCAGAACGTATCTCCCTTTATGTCTCACCCCGCAGTTTAAGATCGTCTCTGCTCTCGGCTCCGCCAGCTTCGCACATTCTTTTGGCGGGAATGAGAGACAGGGCCTTCTCGGCTGTGGCCCCTTGCCTATGGAACTCGCTCTCCAGCGAGATGAGGTCGGCTTCTTCCCTCCTGTCTTTCAGGAAAAAACTAAAATTATGGTACTGGGACCAGGCCTTTGGACAACAGACGTAGCAGCACTTGGTTATGGAACTGAACTGGAATGACAAAATTATGAATTGAACTGCACTGGCTTCATGGTGTTGACAAATGTTTTAACTGCTTTTAACCTAATGATTTATTTATTGTTTTAACTATTGATATATTGTTGTTTGTTGTATTTATGGCATCAAATTGTTGCAAATGTAAGCCGTCCTGAGTCCCCTCGGGGGTTGAGAAGGACGGGATAGAAATGCCAGAAATAAATAAATAATAATAAATGGAGCCACTGGGGGCTCCTAATGCCGCAACCCCTTAACACAGCATCTCATCTTGTGGTGACCCACAACCATAAAATTATTTTCATTGCTGCTTCATAACTGTAATTTTGCTCCTGTTATGAATGGCACAATGTTAATGAATCATGTGAATTGTAGTTTGATGAGGCACCAACTTTCTTTGGCAGAGGAGGTTAGAAAGCTTGTAAACAACTGTCAGGATTCCATAGTACCCAGTCATGACAGTTACAGTGATGTCAAAGTATATTAATTACACAGTACCCTTTAAGACAGTGTTTCTCACCCTCCCTAATGCTGCGACCTCTTAATACTGTTCCTCATGTTGTAGCATGTTGTAGTGACCTCCAAACCATAAAATTATTTTTGGTGCTACTCCATAATTGCAATTTTGCTACTGTTATGAATCGTAATGTAAATATCTGATATGTAGAATGTATTTTCATTCACTGGACCAAATTTGGCACAAATACCCAATACGCCCAAATCTGAATACTGGTGGGGTTGGCGGGGGGAATTGATTTTGTCATTTGGGAGTTGTACTACCTGGGATTTATAGTTCACCTACAATCAAAGAGCATCCTGAACTCCACCAACGATGGAATTGAACCAAGCTTGGCACACAGAACTCCCATGGCCAAGATAAAATATTGGAAGGGTTTGGTGGGCTTTGACCTTGAGTTTGGAGTTGTAGTTCACCTACATCCAGAGAGCACTGTGGACTCAAACAATGATAGATCTGGACCAAACTTGGCACGAATACTCAATATGCCCAAATGTGAACACTGGTGGAGTTTGGGGAAAATAGACTTTGACATTTGGGAGTTATAGTTGCTGGAATTTATAGTTCACCTACAGTCAAAGAACACTCTGAACCCCACCAACGATAGAATTGAGCCAAACTTCTCACAGAGAACTCCCATGAGCAACAAAAAATACTGTTTTTTTCTGATGGTCTTTGGCAAACCCGCTGAAACCCCCTCGCAACCTCCCCCAGGGGTCCCGACCCCCAGGTTGAGAAACACTGAACTAGATCAAATACTTTATTGCATTTGTGCAAATCCCATCTCCAATCACTTATCACATTTATGGCCAATAATGATATACTTCCATGTCACTAAGATACCCATTTTGTGACTGTTAAGTCTTGGCTTTGTTTTAAAGAGATAAAGTACATAAAGGTATACCGATAGCCACTGGGGAATAGCCAGGCAAACATAGTTTTCCTTCAATCCCCGGCGTGGCATCACAGTGACGTTTCTTAATTTTTGGGGATAGATGTTTTTGGTTTTTCTATCCAAATTCAGCTGCCTCTGGAGTGGAAAGAATCAGAGCAAAATTTGGTTTGAAATTAACTAGATCACCCTGAAACCACTTCTTGCATTTAAGTCCAGTTATTCCATACTTCCAAGCAACAACGATACCCATTTTGGGATGTTTCTTACCTTTTGGAGGTAAATATTTTTGTATTGACATTGAAATACTGCTGCTTCTGGCATGGAACAGAATCAGTGACACTTGGGTTGAAATTAATTAGATCACCCTCAAATCACTTGTTGCATTTACGCCTGGTAATTCCATACTGCCCCAATCTCATACTTTTGGGATGTGTCTTAATTATTTGAGATGGACCTGTGTAGTTTTGCCACTGAAATCCAGCTGCCTCTGAAGGGGAAGGAATCAGAACAAAACTCAGGCTGAAAATAACTGGATGTTGCTTAAATAGTTTCTTATGTTTATAGGCAGGAATTCCATTCCAACAAATTATTAAGATGCTCAATTTTGGGATAGATATTTGGGTTTCTCCATTGAAATGCAGATACCTATGGAAATCAGAGGAAAACTTTGGATGAAATGAACTGGATCAGGATTCAAATGATTTTACTCACAATTATGCTGGTACTTCCATGCTCCACCAACCATGGTGATGTTACTTTGTGAGAGAGGAAGCATAAATGTTTACTATCTGGACAATTGGAGCCCCTGGTGGTGCAACCCTTGTGCTGGTAGGACTGCTAACCAAAAGGTTGGTGGTTTGAATTTGGGGAGTGAGGTGTGTTTCCATCTGTCAGCTCCAGCTTCCCAGGTGGTGACATGAGAGAAGCCTCCCACAGGATGGTAAAAACATCCAGGCGTCCCCTGGGCAACATCCTCACAGAATTCTCTCCCACTAGAAATCTCAAAACACTCCGACATGGGGAAAAAAATCTGGAGAATCAATTCCTAAAAGATCCTTTCTGAAAAATTTTGGACATAGACCTTTGTGGGTTGCCTGGCTGGTATTTTTAAAGCATTCCTCCACACCCTTAATTATGCCAGAATTAACACTGGAATCACTATGAGATTGAAGTTCGTCCTTTAAATGAGACTAGAGGTTTGTCCTTTAACCTGCGGTCTCCATTTGTATTCCCATCCTATTTATTTATTATCATATTTATTATGTCATGGTAATATTGTCGCTCTCTAAGGCACCACAAAATTTGTTTTTTTTTTTAAAAAAAAAAACAACAGTTGTATCCTCCTTAGATGATAGAGGGCAACAATTTATTTTCTCTTGAACTATTTTGGTTACAAAAATGTGGGACTGAAAGAGGAAGGTGTCTCTCTCAAAGTGCTTTCTTTTGTCTCCTCTTCCGTTTCCTCTTGCAACTTTGTAATCTTCCCTCCTAGATTATTTTCAGATTTGTTTATTTCTTCTTAATTTTCTCATGCACCTTCCTTCATTCCTGCATATTTCTTTCTTTCCTCATTTGATCGGTCCCTTCCTTTTGCATTTAACTTGATCACTTCCATTTTGCCAACCAGCTAGCCTTTCTCCCAGGTCTGTCCTCCTTGCCTCCTTGCCTTCTGTCCTTCCATGCCTCCCTCCCTTCCTTCTCAATTCACTTCCTTCCCTCCCTTTCCTTCTGCTCCACCCTTCCCCGTTTCATTTTATTGCAGCTTGCCAAACAGGTAGCTTTCTTTTCAGGTCTATCCCTCCCTTCACTTCCCCTTCCTTCCTTCCTTCCTTCCTTCCTTCCTTCCTTCCTTCCTTCCTTCCTTCCTTCCTTCTTCCCCCCCCCCTTCCTCCCTTCTCCATTCACTTCCTCCCATTCCATCTGCTCCATCCTTTATTTAATTTTATTGCAGCTTGCCAAACAGGTAGCTTTCTTTTCAGATCTATCCCTTCCCTTCCCTTCCCTTCCTTCCTTCCTTACTCCCCCCCCTCCTTCCTCCTTTCCCCATTCACTTCCTCCTATTCCATCTGCTCCATCCTTTATTTAATTTTATTCCAGCTTGACAAACAGGTAGCTTTCTTCTCAGGTCTATCCTTTCCTTTCCTTTCCTTTCTTCCTTTCCCTTCCCATCCCTTCCCTTCCCTTTTCCTTCCTCTCCTTTCCTTCTTCCTCCCCCCCCCCCCCCACTTCCTCCCTTATCCATTCATTTCCTCCCATTCCATCTGCTCCATCCTTTATTTAATTTTATTCCAGCTTGACAAACAGGTAGCTTTCTTTTCAGGTCCTCCTCTTCCCTTTTCCTCCTCCCTCCCTCCCTCCCTCCCTCCTTCCCTCCCTCCCTTCCTTCCTTCCTTCCTTCCTTCCTTCCTTCCTTCCTTCCTTCCTTCTCCCCCCC